CAGGTAGTAATATTTGTTATCGTCTTTCAGAACCTATTCTAGTCGAATTGGTGCCTCTGCAGAACCCCAGCTGCTGGATTTTGTGCCAGGGAAGAAAGAGAAGTGCAGCAGGTAAGCTGTAAAACCACACGCGCAGTGAATCCATTCTGCACTGGCTCGTGCAGCAGAGCGCTGGGAGGAAGCCGTCATGGGGAGGCTGAAGCCGGGCTCCTACTTCTATGGGATAACTTCACAGTGTTGTAAACCTGCCATGCACGAGGAAGTAGAGGGAGCAGGGGTATGTGCCAAATGGACCCATTTTACAGAATTCCTCCTTTGTAAAGTGCCTCTCGATGCTGCAGCTGGAATCGGCCCAAGTCAGGATGGTTTCGTGCTTCAGGAGAAGTGGACGCAAGGGTGCAGTTGCAGGAAAAAAGACCAGCATGATGAAGCTGTCCCTTACTGTCCAAGAGGCTGTATCAGTTGAAAATATTGCTTCCAGCAAGTGTCAAGACTTTTTAGTTTATTAGAAAGTTCAATAGGATTTAATATATTTATGTGCATGATTACTCTGTTTTCAATTTTCAGATAGAGAGAAAGTCTGAGTGCTATGTGTTTATAAAATTTAAAGCACCAGAAGTATTTTGGCACTCAGAAGACATAAACATCTAAAGCATCTGGGATTTCATTTGCCCTGCATCTTTGCTCATCTTTACTCCTCATCAGAGTGGATAGAGAACACTACCAAATTGCAGGGGTGGCATTTTGTTTATGCACAGGGCAGCTGACAATAAAAAAAGGCAATATAGCTATGTATTGGGCATATGTGGATTTTTTCCCGGTGCTGTATGCTTGGTTCAGCTTCACAGAGTGATGATTTTCTATTTGCTTTTAAAAAGCTAGAATTATCTTGAAGCTATTTAGCCATTAAATTTCCTCAGTACATATATGCATACAAAGATAATATAACTAGAAAACAACAAAAAGAATAGCACAGCTTGATTTATTATTTCTTTTGTTGAATTGTTTCAAGTTCTCTTCTTGAAGGAAGATGTGTTTCTAATAGTTTGAGTTGGAATATACAAAGCTAATGATCTACATTGCTAATGTACAAAGCAGATTTCCTATTACAAGGAGCCTTAGACAATAAACATATAATGAGTCCACAAGTAATTTCTTACTGAAAGCTAATGGTTCCAGAGTCCTTGACCTATGTGTGGGATTTTTTTTTGTCAAGATGGCCAAAGCCATCACAAGTACCTAAATTGAAAAAGGGAATAATGGCTATATCAATACGTCCAGAAAACTATTCAGACTCAGAATGCAATCTACAGTAAGATCAGCCAAGGTTATCACCAGATGTTTCTTGTCCCACATGCCACAGCTTGATTGTATTGTAATTAATTCAGCAGAATAGTCTCTACAAGAGCTGTGTTTTCAGCACAGTTTCAAGCTTGGTTTCAAATAACAGAAATAATTTCCGATTTCTTAAAACATCCTAGACAAGTGTTAAACTCTGCATTTAAGGTATGCCAAAAAGTACTTATAAAAATTGTACTTAAAGAGCATTAAAGGAATATTCTCAAAGTTGTTCTGATTAAAGCTAGACCTCTGGGGTTCAGAGACTTAGGCACGCATAGCACAATGTCTTAGGGCTTTATTCAGTAAACTATTCACCCCAGACCATACTGCAAGTTCAGAGGTATGACAGAAATTTGAACTCAGGTTTCTGCACCAAACCATAGTAGTATTTATCTAGTTAGCCATCCGTAATACGAACAAACAGAAAAATCAATATATCCTTAGGTATTTTACAGCTCATCCTCCATATTTTTATGGCATATCAGACCAAAGACCTACTATATTATTCTTGTGAAGAAAGAAGCTTTTAGTTATTTAAAGTTTGAGGTCCATTTAAAAATGAATTTCATTAAAGTCAGATACTCACAGGCCTGAAGTTAAGACATAAATAAAAAAGAACATATTTTATCATAATATACCACTTTATTTTGCTGCAATATTTGCAGAAAGAACACATTGAAATGCACTTCCACACTACTTTAAACCTATTCTGGACAATACAAGCCTGAGACAAAATGAGATAAGTTATAAATTATGGTTCTGGTTTTCAGAGGTATTGACCACCAAAGCCTATATTTAACTTCAGGTAGAATTGTGTTCAGCATGTCTGAAAATTGGACCCTAAATTAAAGACAAGTGTTTTCACCTGAGTAACATCCCTTTAAGAACCACCCACAAATTATACAGTGATAGTTCTCCCCATAGGAAAATCGTCTTTTGGATTATTTTAAGATAAAAGCACAGACCAATGTCAGCCCTTTTACAAGCTGCATACTAATGTGAGGAGGGGAAGGAAGGATTTATTTGGAATGGTCTAATTGACCTCAGTGGAATTGGGCCTGGACCCATTAAAACATTTATGAAAAGCAGTTACAGAGCATGAGTAGTACCCAATCTAAAACATTAATGTCTAGGTAATATTAAAATTAATTTGTTTAAAAATAGCAGGGAGGGGAGGAGCAGAAGCCCAGCTGCATTAAGGACTAAATTCCTCCAAAATTCTGTTGGCCTTTTTTCATCATTATTTTTTTAAACAGTTGCAGAAACAGAAGTTACTACTTTTCCTTGGGCTTCTCCTTCTTCTGCATCGGCCTGAGGGTTAGTGATACTCCTCATTTCCGCCTCAGTCCTGCATTATCCTGATTTTTGGACTCATGTGCCAACATATCACAGCTTCATCCTTTCTCAGGAATGACGTAAGCAGTTGAAGGCATTAAAACAAACAGACTTCCAAAATTAATGTGTTTTGCAGGAAGTAAGCATGGGGGTATCCAAAGCCAGAGAGTATGTTCAGAATAGGGGGATTCAATTCCAGGGTGTCACAAAATGTTCTCCATCACCACAGCATGGCAGAAACCTGTTCTTTATAGTATGATAGATGCTCTAAATATGCCACTTACTCAGAGTTATTGGATATGGGAACATGCAAATCTACCAATAATGTAAGAGACTGTGCTTTATGAAGGGCACAGCTACCAAAGAGGTAACTGCCTCCGCTAAGGATTTAACAGTAGCTCATAACTCTGTGGTGTCTCGAGTATGAGCTTCTGTTCATGTTCGTTAATCTTGATAAGAGAGGGGATTTACCTCCAATAAATATCCTAACACTAGGCCTCTTACAGCAGCTTTTCAGATAGTTCCGAGTCCAAACATAAACAGCCGTTAATGTATGATCTCTAGCTAACAAGTACCTGCATGGAAATCGCCTAGCAAAAGTCAACCCAGTTAGCAATGGGAAATTACAAGTTACACATGAAAAGCGAACAAACAGATTGGTAGGAAACATCTGTGACTCTTCCTGTCCAGTACATCTCCTCTCCAGTTCCCAAAGCACTGACTTCTCTTCTGGTCTTTTAGGATTTATCTCTGGAACCTCACAAAATGAACAATAGCCATATGCACATTTACCTTTGAACACATGAATGTTGCATCGCATTTCTTCAAAGGTGGAAGAGCCATGTCGTCATCCCAGAACTATAGAAGACATGCTTTCAATAAATAATGTGGTAGCCCAGCTTTTGACAAGAAAAGATCTGAAAGAGTATGTGATACCAATGCTTATTTTCTCTACTGCTCTCAGAGAGATGTAGCAGCAATATGAGTCCCCTCACCAAGGGCCGTGACAGTTCCCATCCAAAGCTTGCCCATGATGGAAGTCAATGCCTCACCGTTTGTCCCGGTCACTCTCCAAAGGCCTCCCCGCCTGCCTTTGGCTACCTGCAAGTCTTCATGGAAGTATTTAAGACAAGCTATTTTGAAGGTGAAAAGAAAAGCATTTTGACTTGATAATTTTGTTTCAATGAAAGGTCTGGTCTCAACACTTCGTGTCCTTGTATTTAATTTGCACTCCTTGCTTCAGCTATGTCTTACAGAGGTCATTGCAGCCTGTTTCTCAGACAAGTCAAATTTTAATCAAACAGAACTAATTTATTTTCTTGGTTATTTTTCAGGAAAAGAAAAAAAAAAAAATTTTGCAGGAGTACATATTTTTAGGGAAGAAACAAAATCTCCAGTAAAAAATACCTGATGAACATCTTTCAAGCAGGTCTGCTTTTTATTTTTTAAGGTCTCTTCCTAGTAAGGAATCTTTGATGTAGTCAGCAAGACTTTTCTTCCGCCTAGAAGACCTATTGATATATAGCCAAACAGAGAGCAGAGAAAAAATCCACTCTTGTATGTCACCAGACTCTTAATCTATTTTATGGGCCTTAAACACTACAACTCTTCGCACAGTAGAAATTTCAACAGATCTAGAAACTCCATTTTTTCTCCTTATGTGGCTTTTCTAAACCTGAAGTTTTACTTTTCATGAATATTTTTAACCAGCACAAACCTTTTTAGGCTTTTCTTACATCTATCCTTTGTCAAGGAAGAAAGAAGCAATCCTGTGAATCAGATCCCATGTGCATAATCACACAACTATACGAACTAATCGCATCCATAAAAAGCATTCGGTTCAAACATTGCTGTATAGGGAATGCTTAGCCTTAAAAATTATGCTGTTTGGACTAGCAACTTTGAATACATCTTATGAGCAATCCATCTGCACTAATACCTTTTTTTTATTATATTTTTAACTTAAATCAGGGGACATGAGCAACCTGACAGTGTCTATAATAAGTCTGCTGATTACTTCACCTTTTGTAATTCTTGCTTCTTTTTTTGTTTCACATTTTTGTTATACAAAGATGCACATTGTTAAAATGTTCTAAAAAAATTTATCAGTTATTAATTGCCAACTAGGAAGTTTAGAGTAGCAACCTCAACCAAGTTTATAACAAGCTTCAAACTTGTTACCCATACGGAGTCATCACCCATCATAAATAATGCAAATTGGGTGGGCTGGACTTGCCACTTAGCCTTGGGGGGACTCATTTACAGCACAGATTTGCCACCTTTTTTTATAGCCATTGAGTCATGGCCGAGCCTGGGGGCTCACCATGCCGGTGGAGGGGTGGTGGCCGTCAGCGTGGTGGCTGGGGATGAGGGGTGGTGGGCATGTGGAGATGCTGGGGACACCAGGTGGTGGCAATGGGGGGAGTGACAGGGATGTAGGGGGACACCAGGTGATGGGGGTGGAGTGGGGGCACAGGTTGGTGGGGACACAGAGACGCTGGGGACGTCAGGTGGTAAGGATGTGGGGAACACCAGGAATGCAGGTATGCCAAGGACAGCAGGTGGCTGGGCCATGGGGAGGTGCAGGACACCAGGTGGTGGGATCTCCAAGGACACCTGGAATGTTGTCTTTCGTAGCCCAACACATTCCGCCTGGCACCACAACTGCCAACAGCCAACAGAGACCCAGCTGGTGAGTGAGAAAGCTGCCTGCCTCTATGCCACGCAGAAAGGGTCTAGGGGGGGCCTGGGTTATCACATGTGGAATGTTTCCCTTTGAGGAATAACAGGGTATTAACAGTTTGCTTTTCCTGAGCTGGCTCTAGCTTTGGTGCTTGCGGTGAGGAAAATCCTGTGAGGGAACAGAGGGCTCCTGGCCAGCGCAGAGGAAAGCACAGAGGAAACCCACATCTCCACTATTACCTTCACGCTTAGTTGTGTGTGGGGGGGGGGACAGGACACACTAACAAGGGAGCAGCTTTTCATTTTCTTCACCTCACCCAAATTTACAGTCCAGCCTCAGCAATTTCCAGAGACTACAATGGGTTTCTTCCAATCACCTCCTCTCCCACCTACCCAAAATCCCTTGTTTCTTTCTGTCACCTAAAATCAACCTCTTTACATTTCAGCCATCTCCACTCAGGGATCTTGTCTGGCAATATAGATCTTTTTAGGCACTCATCGCAACTGCTCTCAAGTCTCTCTCCATCCAGAGGATTTTTCCTCTCTCGTTAGTCATTTAAGTTTAAAAAAAAAAAATCAGCCTTGAAGATTTATGTAAAGAAGGGCCCACTCCTTTTTTATTTCAATTTTGTTTCCACTTTACATTTCCTTCTAGTCTCATTTCACTCATTTCATTCTGACTACAGCATTTTTTTTTTTTTTTTTTTTTAGGGAAAAGGCTTAATTATTGTTTATCCTGATCTCCCTGAATCCTATCTTCAAATTACTGCATCCTCAACAACCCCCTAAATAGACACTAGGCAAATTCACATGAGGGAGAGACACTGAACACTCCAACTGTAGGGAAAGCTTCGATCAGCGCTTGCACACTCTTAGACACCAGAGAGCCCAGCTACAAAGGACCAAGAAACTCAGTTTCATTAGTTCTACTCATCATCCAACTACATGTTTCACACGCCTATCATCTTGCCTTATTTTTCTATTCCCTCCTCAGATCTTCAATGCCTCTCCCCTCTTACTGAATCCCTAGGCATTTCCATTTTATTTCTTTCCCCCTTTTGTTGCTTTATCTCTGCTGCACTTTTCCCTATAATTGTTTTGCTCTGCTCTGCACTTTTGAGCCAGCAGATCAGTAAGTGTGGATAGGATGCAATGATGCATTCGTCTAAGTTTCACCTCAACTGTATAGCTAAAGTAGGGAAATTTAGATGCCATATCTAAGCTGCAGCTGGAGAAGCAAACGTGCAGAAGAAGAAATAGGACTGAAGATACTGAAAAAAAAAAAAAAAAATCCTGTCTTGAAAGTAAATTTATTCATTTATCTGAAAAACAATATTTTTTTAGCAATATGGCACATTTGTTTTGTTCTGAGATTTTGTATCTTAGTTACTTGATTAATTATGCTGATTTTGCTTTGTCTTACTCACTTGTCTTTCTCTGATCTTGTGATTCTTTAGTCCTTGGCATCTAAGCAGATAACTTGGCACTGGGATGGGACTGTTGTCTATAAAGCTTAGGCCATTTTCTACTCTATTCTGAAATGCTTGTTGAACCCTTGTAGTGTTCCAAGTTGTAAACGTTAACTCCAGTGTGTCTTCCTTATAAGCTCTGTTTTGAGGCCTGCAGTTACAAGGTTTATTTCTGGGTGAGAAGCAGCAGGGACTTGATATTTTACTGCATTTTTAAAATGCGTTTGAAAAATTACTTTAGAAAGTATGGTTAACAAATTTCTCTGATTTAAGTATGTTCAGTAATTTAGTCTCTTGATAAATTAATAAGAACCTTACTTAAAACCCTTTTCTAAACCTATTTTAGAACTTTTTTTTTTTTTTTTTAATCACATACATCAGTGGAGCTCAGGTCCTGATAAGCATGAGTATACCTCCTCCAGTGGTCCAAGGTGGGAAGAAACCTCTGATTACACTCAGTGGTCTGAGGTGCAAATGGTAGAAGGAGGGTGGTGGGGATATAGATTTCCCTTCTGGTGTTATGTACAAGTAAGACATCTTCCATCAGGATCAGTTTCTTCCATTTTTAAAATACTGGGCTGAAAGTATTCACAAGGAGGTGAATTACTAAGCTGGGGCATGCCGTAAAGCATTTAGGACCGACTGCATCAGGGACAGCCATGCACTCCCCTCGCGTGCTCCAGCGAGCTCCGGGGCTTGCACGGAGCTGGTGCTTCCCTGCCCCAGCACCAACCCAACGGGTGGTCCCCACAGCCCCCGAGGCGATCCAGTTGTGCTGAGCTGGCTCAGCACCATCTTTAAATGGGACTTAGAGAGGGCAACTGCAGGAACCCTGAAAGTGAGAAGCTGATCTGCCATGGGTCTCCTGTACATCTCGGAGCAGGACTAATTTCTCTGTACCTCATTTCCATATCGCCATTTTATCACAAAGGATACTTCCTTCCTCCACTTAGTCTATTTAAAAATGTCTTTTACAATGAATATGTAGAAATATAATAGGAAACTTATCTCACATGGCACCATTTAATTTTATTGTAATAATAGTAATAAATGTACTAAGTACAAACAATGTGCTCAATGTAGAAATAGATTTAATACATTTAACTGGATTTTGAAATTGGTTCTCCATGAATGGACACTCATTCTTGTTCAAATCAGAAGTGGCATCTCAGATGGTACTTTGGAAGATGATAGAATACCTGTCATCCTCATACCAGGATAAAGTAGAGAAGGAACATTAAATTTCCACTCCAAGACTGTGAAAAGGATATTTTTTTTTGGATTTTATTTCATTATGTTTCCTTTTCTTCATTTAATTTAATAATACGTTCCAAATCTATTTATCCAAATGCATCTGTTTTATACTTGGGGAAATACAATCTGAAAAGAAAACGTAACTTTTTTCCAGTAAAGTTAAAAGAATGGAAGGCAACTAATTTTAACATATTGCCACTTAATGTCATCTTGTTTGATGATAAAATACATGGTAAAGCATTTTCAGTAATCACTTCTTGAAACAAAACAGAGCTTTCCTGGCTAATGAATGGGGATACATTTATTTATTTATAGGATGTACATCATTCTAATTCCTTTGTGTTTCACAAATATTAGTAAGTTGATCCATGCATCACTGAAAAGAAGTGAAGTCTTATTAGCTCCACGCAGCACAGGAATCACATGATCTGCCCACACTTACCAGAAAGATGCATGGAAAGTATAATTAGAATGAAAAAAAAATTGCTCTTATTACAGTATGTAACCAATAAAAGCCTCCCTCTGTCATTCAATATTACTAACCTTAAACATTAAACATCCTCAGGCAGGCAACCAGGAACATCTAACTAGATAAAATCGTTTGGTTGTTTTTTGGTTTTTTGGGGTTTTTTTGTTTGCTTGGTTGGTTGGTTGGATTTTTACAAAGATATTCTTTGACTTCTTTCCTTTTATTTCCTAAGCCTTTACATGATACTTGAGTTATATTTTCAAGTTTTTTCCTGCAGCCATTAGGGCTAGAGAAAATATTTTAAAATAACATTGAGACTGTCATCAAACTGCATACCTTCTAGAAGATGACTTGTAAGCAGCCTGCTGAATAAGACAAGGTCGGTTGTATTTCAGGGTGGCCATACTGTTGATTTTGTACTTGTACTGTTTTCAGGAATACTCTAATGCATTACATTAGAATCAATAAATGAACTATTCTGTTAGATACATTCACTTTATGGTGCCTACTCCTTAAAAGGTCATTAGTTATATCTGTGCAAACTGGTGGTATTACCAGGATATTCATACCAAAGCTTGCAAAACCATTTAGGAAATATAGATGAAATACTGTGGTAAAAGTATTCAAATGTGACCACTGACAGATTTTATGGGCAACCTCTGGACACATGTAAAAATGAGTCTTTTAAAGTGTTTTGCATTGGTTTATCTTTGCTCTAACAAAGTCATTAGGGTTTTGGCCACCTGATGGAAATGGTAAATAAGGCCAACAGTGAAGAAACTCCATGTATCACTGTTGTTTTGAAAGAATATTCAGGAATTCAATGTAAAATGTTTTGCTGCATTCCATATTTCTTCATTACAAATATAAGCCCTAGCTCTGTAACTGCTTGTTTGCATGTCTAATGTTATGTGACTCTGTGAGACTACTCACTCCTATAAAATTAAGATGCTGCATGTGTGTGTTTGCAGGACCATGACCGCAAGGAATACTTGCTCAATGTAATAACTACCAGTTGAAAAACAAAATAAAAATCAACTCTAATTGTGCCCATTTAAATTCAAACATTGAAAAATAGCTTAAATATGGTATTTCAGAATGTAAATTTTATAAAAAGTCTGAAGATTTTAGGAGTCTGTTAGCTCTTTAGTCCCTCTGTAACAAGGCTATTACATAGCATTGCTCAGATTGATGTTGAAAATAATGCAGCTGCAAGAGCAGCTGCAGCAAGAATTCATAGAAGCCAGGATGCAAAGCAAGCCCTGCTCATAGTCCCTGCCTTTAGCTTTCTGTTGCGGGGAGTTTTTTCCCTTACTTATTTATTAGCTTCATTCCAGCATCTTCTGAAATGATGCCTTGCTGTGAATAACTGAGGGTTAAAGCTTTAATGGCTTTACTTAGCCTCACAAATGAAAAATCTGGAATTTACTGTATTCTGCAAACCAGAGTCACTCTTGACAGCAGCAAGTGCTGGTTTTTTTTCCAAAGTGAACAGTTCAGGGTTGGTCAATATTAAGACGGTAACCGTCAAGAAAAAAACAGCATCAAAAAGGAGGAAGGATACTTCACAGTTAGGTATACAGGTATACAAGAGCATCTTTTTGCTTCTGGTATTTAAAAAGACATTTATGTCCCTGCGCAGGAGTTGATGAATTTGCGGGCTGCTGCCCTGAAATATTTGTCCATCATGTGGCTTGCAGGCAGTTTTGGAGGAAAGTGCGAGTCCATCACCCACCCGCATGCTTCTCTTTTCACGACATACAAAGAGTGACAGGAATGAGTTGCAGCAGCAGAGTACTGGGCCCTGGGTAAACCCAG